TTGCAAAGTAAGCGGTCGTCCAAACTATATTGATAGTAAATAGATTTTGAAGGGTATATATGTTGATATATTCGTAATACCCAATACAATGTATGAATAAGCAAGGTGCAGTAGCTGCTGAATCTTCCACTGGTACATGGCCAACTGTGTGAACCGTTGGACTTACCAGCCTTGATCAATTATAAAGGTCGATGCTACCACATCGAACCCGTTGTTAGGGAAGAAAATCAATATATTGTTTATGTAGCTTATCTTAAGTTATTTCTCAAAAAGAAAAACAAGACTGTTAACCAAGGACTTCTAACATCTGAAGATAGTTTTATCGAAATGATTATGGACCTTGAAGATTCAAAGTCATTTATTTAAAATCATTTCTATAAAACTTGACTTTGAATCTGAAGTCACAATGAATAATAATAATAATAATAATAATTTTTAGAACTTCAATAAGAAGTCAAGGTATGAAGTAGGGCATTTTAAGAAAAAAAAAAAGAAACATAACTACAAATGTAAAAAACAACAATTTGAGAGGATTTTATAATAATGTTTTAGGAGGTCGTGAGCTTAAATTTATCTATAAATAACTATCCCCTTTTCATTTTTCAATGAGAAATTTTTAACATTGGATTTCGTACCAATTATAAATTAAAGGAAAATATCGATCCAGATATCTTGTAAACTATTGGTCAAATTGTCCAATTCAAGATTAAAATGATTATTTTTAGGGCATGTTTTCTATGAGTCCATATAGAAATGAGTCGCTTCTTAAAACTATATTTTTGAGATGGATTTTTTAACTTAATTTTTAAGGATATCTAATCTCTAACATGATCATGAATAAAAATAAATAAATTAATTAAAAAAATTAAAAATAATAATTATGTTAAGAAAACTTGTAGATCATTAGTTTCAATAGTTTTTAGATGGGCCATCTATTTACATCCACTTTTAAAGTGGATGCTTTATACCATAGAGCCACATATTGTAGAAATGCGGTCCAGCCCGCATAAAATACGTTTCCCTTTTTTTTTAAGCTTTATTTCATGTACCACCTTAAAATATATATTTGAAAATAACCAAACTCCTTTTATTCAATGGAAGGCCTAAATAGGCAAGTGCATTTCGGTGATTTCGCACTAAGCGGCTCAATCTAAATCGTGGTAATGCCCATGGAAGGCCTAAATAGGCAAGTGCATTTCGGTGATTTAGCACTAAGCGGCTCAATCTAAATCGTGGTAATGCCCATAGTTGTTCAAGGTTGGCACTATGAGACTGCCAAATTATGCTAATACCCCTAGTTGTTCATGATTAGTGAAATAAGACTCACTTGTTTTTTACTTTAAACCCTTATTATGTGTTGCTAATATCAAAAAACTATATGCATTATCATCATGTGGTTTGGTCCACTTAAGTTTATCAAATAACTAAAATGCCCTTAGTTGTTCAACATTCTCAATTTTAACAGGGTTAATTTGATCACTTTTACATTATTTTTTTTTAATGGAGGCATAGTTGAATGAAACTTAAAAGGTAATCACCCCCTTGAAATGATTTGCCATCTTAATGCTTTTATAACATGTTTTGACCGTTTGATTGATATCTTCCTAAATTAGAATCTAGCCCAAAATAATTTATTCCCAAATAAATCTCTCTCCTTTCTCTCTCAACTTAAAGAAAATTGAGTAATTCACATGCGGACCATACAAAAGATATGGTATTACAGCATGGTTCATATTTTGAAAGTATTACGTTGAGCTCCTACTTTTTCAAGCTTTTTATTTTAGACTTTTAAAACAGCTAAAACAAAAAATAAAAATAAAAAAATAAAAAAATGATGCATTTGGCCAGTTCTACAGTCTAACTTCTAAACAATTCAAAACATGTGTTTAATTAGTTTAAAATCTACCCTTGGAACTGCTAAAAAAAAGGGGAAAAAAAAAACTTTAGGATGTTTTATATTTGGACTTTCGAATTGCCCACGTTTGAAAGTTTTTTCTTTTTCTTTTTTCAGACAGTTCTAAAGTTCGACTTCTGAACTGCCCAACCACATCAATAATTTTGTATTTTAGGTGCTTCGAAAAATATATTATCTAATGTGGGAGACAATGAGAAATAAAATAAAAAATCAAAAAAATAAAAAAAGATGAAAAATTATACCCTCTCTCACGGTTTTTTTTTTTTAAAAAAAAAAAAAGCTCTTCTCTTCACTATTTATCTTTTTTGTTTAATAATTACGTATTTATATATAAACCTAAAACCTAACTTGCTCCCTAAAAAACCCTAATGAATGCTGGATCATAGTCCTTCATCGTTTAAAAGATTAATCATTCACTTCTACCCCTCAATTCTCTAAAACAACAAAAAAAAACACAAATACCTCTAAAACAAATTTGAAATGCAAAATATCTTTAAACCTTATATAATCTAGAAAGTAGTAAAATAAACAAATTAAAAAACCCATTACACCTGATCTCAAGCTTTTTCTGTTTATTACATCTTTCAAAGGCCACATGGAATGATGAAGTTTAATCATTCGCCTTGGTACTTTATCTTCTTCAATGAATGAATTAACAAAAAAAACAATGTGTGGAAGGTGTGAAAAATCTCTTACGATTTCCACCATTTGTTTTTCCATGCCATACAACTAGATCAACTTCTGTAGCATGTTGTAGTTTGTGACCGAAGCTTGAATCAGTAATCTGTCTTTAATCTTCTATGTCTTCATCTTATCTTGGTCCCCATGTTGTTGTTTACTATATAGATCTTGTAAAACTTATTATTCTACCAAGACATACTATCAGGCCTTTGTGAGTCTCTCAATTGTTTAATCCACACACTATAAGTGGATAGGGGATGATTGTGATAACATTGTGATATATCGATTTTTACGCTCTGATACCAATTAATCCAGTAGAGAATAGGAAATAAAATAAATCAACTACAAAAATAAAAGAAAAATAAAGGATGATAATATACCCTTTTTAAAGATTTGCAAGAGAGTTCACCCAAGGGAGAAAGATTTTTTTCCCCTCAAATCTCCTACATCACTTTCGAACAACAAATATATCTTCTTCTTTTTTCTTTTTTTTTCGATGGCTCAACAGTTAGTTTTTCAAACAAGGACTTATATACGAATAAAGAGACTAAAAAAAGTAAGACATTAACTTTATAAGTCCCAAAATATGAATCACAAATTTCCAAACCTGGGGTTAAATAAGAAAAAAAAAACTCAATAAAGTAAAATTTTAATGTATTATGGAGACCATGTCATAATAATATATCTTTCGTCTATACGTAAATTTATTGAGGCATCCATTTTCATTCTCTGTTTTAGGCTCTCGTCCCTCAATTTTTCCTCTTTATCGTCTCTCAATCTCACTTTCTCTATATCTAGAAAATTTTCAAAAATGTGACCATGGATCAGTCCATATATTTCCAATGTTTGGGAAACTAAAGCTGAATCTTGAAGAAAAAGGGGCAAAACAACAACTGGTTGAATTCAAATGTAGATTTCTATCTATAAAAGAGGCCATTAAATCAAATCAAAGCTACTTCTACTTTAACACTCTAAAACTATGGCTTCTCTCTTAAGAAAGACTCAAAAAACTAATTGATCTAAAAGTCACGACATTTTCTTTCTAAAACTAGCCTTAAAACCCATATAGTAAACCTTGCACGAGGAAAGTTTGCTAAGGTCTCTACAGAACATCAAAGAGTAGGGCTACAGATAGGCATCAAATCCATCTCTCTAAAGGACAAGCTTTCTATCCTTCTCCTACAGTATAGAAGTTCTATCCTCCTCTTTATCCAACCGTATATTTTGAATGGAGGGCTAAAATCGCCCCAATCACAATGTCACGTCTCCACACTATTTTATTTTTAATTTTTTTCTATAAACTATTTTGGCACCAAATTTTGGACATCCATTCTTTTATTAAACTCGCACTAACAAAAAATATACAAAAATATTTTCAATAAAATAAAATGACCAAAATACCCCTTAAAAGGTTTACGGGGTATTTTGGTCATTATATTTTATCGAAAATTTATTTTTAATATTTTTTATAGGTGCACCCCAATGAGAAGATGACATGTATCAAATTTCATTTCATATTCATACAATCTGTTAAAAAAAAACTAAAAATAAAATACTTTGATACGTTAGATTTAAGATCAAACAGTGAGTGGCTCTCTTGATCAAAATTGGACGGCTGGATGGTAAGAGGAAAAAATAACTTCTATGCTGCATAAGAAGCATAGAAACCTTTGCCCTCTCTAAAATAGGGTATGCTTTAGGCCAAAACATAATAAGGTATGATTTAGGCCAAAACATAGACAAAAGAGTCGATCAATTTTTTGCAAGTTCCCTGGGGTCGAGAATGAGAGATTTTGTTTTACGTTAATTTTTATGAAAGGGCAAAATGTGGTCTATCTTACAAAATTATCAAAATAGCACCTATCATTGCAAGTTTATTTCATAAAGGTACTGTTCAAATCGTCAAAAAAAATTTAAAAGAAAATTAAGATTAGTATATCTTATTTTACAGGTATTTGAAAACTACCCACAGATTTTTTTTATTTAAAACATCCTATAAATTTTTGACACCAAAATTACATTTATTAAGTCTCAAAGCTAAGACCTTTGCACTCGTATATCACATTCCATTGCAAAAGCTTATTGGTCTAAAGTGCTTCAACTCCACCGCTCCCTCCTCGCATTGATTGCTTTGAGCATCCTCTAGTTTAGGATCAAATCCGCTACAACTTTGGTGACATTCTTCCCACCGTATTCCAAAAATGTCGGAAGAATTAAGCCCGGAAGCCATCCGATCCAGGGGCTTTATCCCCTTCCGTGACTTTAACAACGATTTATAGCAAAATTTAGTGTGTGCCTTAATTTAATGGTTTAAAGTTGTAACCTTATACCAAACACCAACCTAATCACCCGAAAAAAGGTAATATACAACATAATATGAACCATATCGTCATAATAACCAGAATGACCAAATGGTTTACCATTGTCCAATCTAGTGCAACACAGTCCAACGGGCACTGAAATTGATGCCATTTTTATCCATTCCCCTCCATCACCGTCCAACCGATTGATGGTACAGTAATAGCATTATGGTCAAGTCGAAATCATGACCATACGGGTCGTACTAACCCATGAACATACACAGACAATCCCGGATGGATGATGAACCGAAAACTATTCCAATATCCACTTTCACCAGTTTGAGATTGAGAGAGCAATGGACAGTTTTCAGTATGTCAAAGGAGTGCTGGACATTGAACATGGAGACACATCAGATAATAATAATTCAAATTTTAAGCCGCCCTATATCATGAAGTCCTTAAAGATAACTAATCTTACTGTCCTCTTCCATTAAGTTATAGTGGTTAACATAACAAGACTCATCTAACAAGAATTTGTTCAGCATGTCCACAACGAAAATGGTTCAAACGTAGACTCCGGTGGCCAGAAGTAAGAACAAGGATCCAAAGCCCTGCAACCAACGTGACCTCAATCAGCAGACAGAAGACAAGCAATCAATGAAATTCAAATATCTCAACTCACCAAGAAAATTGATGCCACAGCACCTGTTGCAAGTTCCTTGGGTAAGCTGCGGCTTTGCCTCGAAGAAGTTGCTTCATAGCTACAATATATAGCAAACCCATGAGCACTTTCTCATATTGTCGCTCATTAATTATTGTTCCATTAAACATCACAATCTCCTATGACCATTAAAAATGCATTCTTAAAATTCTCACTTTTTTATCATCTCCATTATTCATCATTTATTGTAAAATAATGATTTTCGGAAAATCATGCGACTCTAAGATGGCCATGTCACAAGTCAACTTCAGGAGCACAACAAAAATATTGAACTACGGCAAAATTTATAGTTAAAGAAGAGCAAATATATCAATTTTTTTCTTACAACGATACCCATGCTTTAATCCATTTTTTATTTTCTAATATTGAACAGTTCACAGCAGTCTTAACATGCAAAAACACAGAACAGACAGGTTCCATAAAAACTAGAATGATGGCATATCAATCTGAGCTTCTTTAGTTTAGCATACCAAGTAAACCAGCTCAGAAGCAGTGTCAGCTTGCAGACAAATATTACAAAAGATGCGAGGATTGCATAGTCTTCTAGAAGCCAGGCACCAGATTATGGATTCTGAATAAGGGGCAATTCATGAGTAACACTAAGCTGGGATTCATTAGTGAGTCTAATTGACTCAGTTCTCAATTTAAGGGTGGAGCAACAGTTTTGTGGCTATGCACACCCAATACTTTTGTATTAAACCAATGGAATAGGATAGACACCAATTATACAATCGAATCCACTATTAATATATGTGAAACCGACAGTCAGTCCATAGTCACTTAAAAGTACAAGGCAGGCATGTTTTGCTGTTGAAGAATGCTCTGGCCTGCTGCCTCACATGGACGATGAAATGGTCAGCAGCAAAGAAATCCTTAGGAGATGGGTGAGGTAAGAGAGGATTTCAAGGGAAGGAATAAAATTAAGGTAAAATATCTAGGGCCATTTTTTTTTTAACATGTTGACTTTTGTGTCTTTATATAGTAAAAGAGTCCAAAACATCAAAAAATAGGCTTCCCACAGATCAGGAGCCACAAAAAAGGCTGCATCCCAGCAAGGGATGCACTGTACAACCAAAAAATAGAGGCCACCCCTAAAGTATCTAGGGCCATTTTGTTTAACCATCGTGATCAATATGAAGGTAAAGAAAGAGAATGGGTGTGTGAAGTACGAGAATAGACAGAGAAGAGAATGGGTGCATGAACTAGGAGAATAGACAGAGAACAGAACACCCAGGAAGGATCCATAATGAGTTGGTTAGAGATACAAAGGGCGAAAGGTAACCTACTAAATCACAGGAACTAAGATGCAAGGCAATGGATAGTTTTTCACAACGTACAAGCCATTAATATAAGATAGAAAGGGAGAGTCACATCCCATTATTTCAAGTCATACAAGAGGTTAGTGTGCTGGTGGGGTCACATGGAAACTGGAAGTGCGTTGGGTTGGGGGGTCTTTAGATAAAGCATGTTAAGGACACTGCCATGTTACAATAATTCTAAAATAAGGTTAATGCTACACCAAAGAAACCAGACACATGATGGCTCCCATTTGCGCACATCTGGGAGCTCATTGTGCCATATTTCTCCACCAACAAAATCTAATAAAACCTCGGGTGGCTTGGTATAACCAAGAGTTCAATCCACATGGAAAGCGTTTTTGTCCACCTTTCCAACTGCTTCTGCCTCTTCTCCCCCCACCCCCCCAACCTTCTCTCTCTCTCTCTCCTCTCTCTCT